CTTCCTGCTTCTTACAGAAGTACAGTTAATATCTACACCCAATAAAAAAAACATGGAGCTATGGTATGATTGCCAATTAGACAATTATCCACCAGAGACCAAAGGATGAGGATGTAAACCACTATAGGTCAACATACTGACTTCAACAATGAGCAGGGGCTTAGGTGGCTGAGTAGTTGATCTACTGTATTACTAGCCTGTCAACATTGAGGTTGTGAGTTTGAACCCTGCGCGTGGCAGGTGCATTTGACTCTTAATTGATTAGGATTGCCAGTTTCTTGCTGAAGGTCAGTGGTTCTCTATGGGCACTCAGCTTCTTCCACCAATAAAAATTGAAACCAAAAGTGCTGAAAGTGGCATTAAAACACCAACAATCAATCAATCAACAATGAGCAAAAACCATCCAACATATATATATAGTAAGCTATAAAAGTCCCTACATGGCAAAGATGAAACAGCTCAATAGAGAAAACCAACTTGCTGATTTATGGTAAACACACACATGGAAGACAGCAACCAACCACAACCTCTGAACTAGTTACAGGCTACTGACTTTGGAATGTTGTGTGGTTATCATGTTTGTAAAACACCCCTCCTCCTACCCCCATAACTTGGGACAGTGGTGTAACAGCACAATATAAGAACAAGCTAAAAGTTATCAATAACCATGAAATTTTTACCAAAATTACTGTGAACTGTCACCTTTCACCTCCCATTTTGGTGAGCTGTTAAGAAAGACAAATTTCTGTTTTCATTTGAGATTGTTCATATAAATCCCTATGCTGAGATTGGGTTTAGTTTAGTGTGTGTTGATTTGTCGGTCTCGATCTGTTGTTCTGACTGTCCATTCATCACACTTTTTGTAATATTTTCTTAGAAACTTGTTAATACAGCAGTTCATAGTTCATGCTGTGTTTTTATTTGTACTAAACCATAAAGAATAGATAAATGGACCCTTTTGTGCATTTTCCACTGTTGACTCATACGATGTGAATAGAACACTATACTGACATTGAAATGGTCACTGATAGCAAGTGAAAACTGAATATGTGGCGTGCATGCTTTTTTTATTCAAACCATGGAAGTATTATATTGACAGGAACTCCAACAAGCGGACTTCAAACGTTTATAGTGCGATGCCGCAAAATCGTTAAGTATCTGTTAATTAACTCGACTGTCTAATGGATGCATGGGTTCCGATAAAATTTTTGGAACCTCGTGAATGATCGTAATTTCGGAACATACCGAAATAACCGGATGTGTACTTAATTGTCAAGGAAATGACATTTACCGACCATGTGAATGACAAATATAATGTCAGTTTTTACGGGTTTTGCTGCTTAAAAACAAATAAAAAGAAAAGAAACGAAACGAAATCCCCGCGACTGTTTTCACCGATTAAAAAGACAAAAAAAAAAAAACTGAAGAGTAAAAATACTCACAAGCCATAAACATTTCAGTTAAAGTTACAATCAATTTTAAAATAGTAAGATTTATTCATGAGAGTGCCGTTGGCTAAACACGCGTAACTGTTATATACAAGTTAGGCTTGAAAATCATAAAATTCTCATGTAAAGTAAACGGAAAAGTTTTTATCAGTAATTATTATCGCGTTTTACTGCTAACTTTGACAAATATTTTACTGAAGTGTTTAATGAAAGAATTTCCAACAAAAATTTAATCCAAAAGTTGGCCGGGGGGGGGGGGGGGGGGGGGGGGCGGGGTTAAAGAGCTTTGATCCGAAAAAATATCAAATATTTTGATTTATTGTTTACTGAAAGTCCAATGGCAAATATTTCATGCAATTAAACAAGAAACAAAATCATAAATTGCTTAGCACACGGTGTAAGATGTTTCAGAACTGTTTTTAAACACATAAATAAATTCTAATTTGGTTTCCATGATAAAAAAAAAATAAACTGCTTAGGGCCCATCATGGTGATCGTTCTTTAAATGCATCCAGAAATATTTAAAGCCATCCGTAAAAATAAATCTGTCAGACGTCAGAGTAATCTCGGACTAGGTTGAATGTTTATATAAGGTTGTTTACAACTTTGGAATTATTATAAAAGGTGTAACAATTCATCTGCATGTCTCGTAACCTGATATTGCTATGTAGAGGTCATCACATGCGTGTAATTATTAACCTCTTTTAGTCTTTAAAACATATTTGATAAATAAGTTAATAACATTTTACGATATTTTACGATAGAGAAAACCATAAATATTTGTGTTACACTCGATAAAAGTTTACAATCTTTAACTTAAAATTTGAGTTATCCGGCACCATCCGGCACACTACACGCGCATCACATTATTTTTTGCAAACACTCTACTTCAGAATCATGTAATTTTTCTAATCGGATATTTCCCGATTTCCAAGTTCCAATGATTAAAACATACTCAACAAAACTAAAAATAAGCTTGCCCTCTTTCCGAATGCAGTTAATTTTCTTATGTCATTCTGTTAACTATGGACCGATTTTTTCGATCTTTTCAGCTTTGTTCTTCATTTATTGAACGGAAACAGGTGTTGTTATTCATGTGGCGATTCACAAATAACCACGGGAGTTTCCGTGTTTATTTACATTGGTAGGTAGATAAGACAATCGATACCAAATCACGTGATAAGACCAGCTAAAGTTAAAAGAACAGGCGAAGGCGGCATCACAGATACCCCACAAAGGAGTTATCACGTACTTGACAAACTGAGTCGGAACCTTTTATTTTCTTAAAGAAATCAGTGGGATGGGAATGTGCTAATTTTTCGTTGGAGTTCCTGTCAATATAATACTTCCATGTTCAAACTAAAAAAAACTATACAGGAAAAATATATTTCACAGAATATGTTAGTTTTAACATTTATAAACTTTTACAATTCCCAAACAATTAGACACTTTTACATGACAGTGTAAACGTATTTGTGTGATGCTTATTCCATCTATTTCTTGTTTGCTAAATCCATAAATATGATTCTTGAAGTCAGTGCACATTTACTAATATAAAGATATCTTTTTTTTTAAATACAAATATCTGAGATTATATTATTATATGTTGTTTATTTGTTGACATTTCTTAATAAAGATTTTGATAGGAATATTTAAGCTGTCGTATATAATGTTACATAGTGTAACACATAGATTTGAAAAGAAAGAAAAAAGAAAAATACAATGCAAGCAGTTTAAGTTGTGTTGGATATGGTTCTATACCAAGTCAGAATAACGATTGTGTCAGATATTTTCCTCTTAATAATCATTGATAAAACTTAGTTAACTTAGTTACTCGCTGTGTGAGACGGAAGTCAAAACTATGTCAGACAGAGTTATTCTAGTTTCTTCTGCAAAAAGCAATATCATCAAAATTGTATCAGGAAATGTATAAGGCTTTGACATTGTATCTTATATACAAGTCACGAGTATCAACAAAATTAGTCTGTCATACATAGTCTACACAATTTGAAAATTTGATAAAACAGGCAGAAAAGTCATTCGATCAATATTAATCTTATACATTATATTTTCTCTAAATTGAATAAAAGAAGTTGTGTTTTATTAGAATTACAAAGATATTTTTTTGTAACATGAAATCACCACTATCAGGTTAAAAGTGTTCAATCAGTTGTTAGATATATTGATTTATATGGCTTCTGTTTTGTTATTTTATAGGTCTTCTGATGCTCATAATGAACTGGAATCTATTTTTTCATTAGACATTTTATGGAACCAGATAAAAAAAAACTATTGTACTGGAATATAAATTAGCAAAACAATTATTTATTTGTTATGTGAGAAGAAAGCAGATATTTGTTTGTTTTTTTTGGTATTGATTAAAAAAAGTAGGACAATATAAAAGATAAAAGATATAAAAGAATTTAAAATAAACTTGTGTACAATGTTGCAGAAAAATTGCATATGGCCCTGACGAGTCTAAATTTTCTTCTGATTATCTCTGTTGACCACTGTGTGGACCCTGTCAAATTCATTTATTGTTTAATTTTGTTCTCATCTTTAATTTTTTTGTAATATTTGCCACTAGACATTAAACAAACAACAATCAATGAACCCAATATATAATGTAATGTTTTGTGTGATATTATCTAAAACATACTTGTAATATTTTCCACTGGACATTAAGCAAACAAAAATCAATCAACCAAATATATCTAGTTATTATGGCAAGCTGTTTTACTATTTATATTACTATATAAGAAATCTTATAAAGTTTATTAGATATCTTGAAGTTAGAATAAATAGTAAAACGGCTTGCCATAAGTTATAGTATGATTTCATCCTAATTATGATTGAAATGTTTGCAAATGGACATTAGACAAACAATCAATCAACCAAATAGATTATGTAATTTCTTGTGTTCCAAATATATAAACTCATATAATTTGTGGATCAAGATTTACAGTAATAAACTGTTGATGTGAATCATTTGGAAATGTTGAAATATTATATCATAATGGAACCTGATACAATAAGTATCTTAAGTGGATACAGAACCAAAAAACATCATTACAATTATATTTAATTTTACTGTAGGGAAATTGAATCTATTTGTTTAAATGATTCAATAATCGGTACTATATTACAGAGGATTATTGCACAAATATTGAGGATTAATACCTCTAATGTGTACTGTAAATTCAGAAATTATTGCAAGTTTATATTAATGTGAAAAATGTGATGGTCTCAGGTTCCCAATAATAAAAACTTGCATTCATAATTTCAGTAGTGATTTTCCTTCACAAAATGTTTGCAATCGTATTAATAAGAATATTAATAAGTTCTCGCTTTTTTGCAAGTAATCAATGATTTGCAATACTAAATGCATGCATTAATTTCTGAATTTACAGTTTTATGCTCATCTAGCCTCTAGTGATAAAAAAGCTATGTTCAATATCCCTTAATATTAGTGAAATAACCATACAGTTTACAACTATTTTAAGTATATTTTTCAACTAGTAAATGTTATATTGTAATTTATTTTAATTTTAGGTTAGATCACCCAAACATTGTAAAACTGCTTGATGTTTTTGAAGACAAATCACATGTATACCTAGTTATGGAATTGTAAGTATTGTTTATTTTGCATCTGTCAGGTAGGGTGGAACGTTAGCGAACAAGATTGGTGTATATAGGAAAATTTGTGTATTTACCAGAACAATAAAGTCTTTCCAAAATCCAATAGTTGTCCTCACTTTTGTTGGGTATGTCAGTTCATGTTGGTTTGTAAGTGTATACTGATGAATAGATTATCAAATCCAAGTTCAGTTTTAGATGACTTACCTGTCACAAAACTAGGGGCCTTGAAAATTTTATGAAAATTGTACTTGTCTAGAATTTTTCATTTAGCGTGTTGGTAATATTTTGAATTTTGGTACATTAATGTGTTAGGGTCTATTACAGAACAAGCTCACATTTCATTCTGGATGATATATTTACATGGAGTTATGGAGTCCTTCCATCATTCTGCAGGCAAGGTATTTGTAAGTCTTGATACATCAACATTCATTTGGATCATTCAGTAACATATAATGGAAAAACCAAAGATTCATTAATTAACATTTAAAATAACTATAATGCTATCTGCAGTAAAATTTGGCCTAAAAAATTACTAAAATCCCCTAAAGTCAAATATGTTAGATGGAAGTTGGAAATTTTTATTTTGCTAAAAAATATCTATATATATTGAAAATTTAATCATATTGCTAAAAATTAGCATAAGTGAAGTGAGCTTTTTAATATATAACCAAAAACCATAGATACCTGAGGATATGGAAGTCAGAGACAGTTCCTTTATCTTGAGGAAGTAGAGTAAACCTGACTTTGGACTTATGTGACCATTGCATTTCAAATTTCAAATTGTTTTATGTTCTGTTTTTAATATCTTTGGATGCATAGAAATACGTGAACTGATTTGAAACTTCCTTGAGATGAACTGTTTCTGTTCAAATAATTTAGCAAAATTATTCGAAAATCATGACAATGTGTAACATTTTATTCCTCTGAGTTAAATTATAAATGATATTAGGAAGAAACTTGTAGCACAAGTGTATGGTAATTGGATAATATTAGATTTTATAGTGGCCAATGTTCTTGTAAGCCGATATTATGTCAGAATTATTTACTGATAATATGTGAGCTAGATATTTTTGTGCAATAAATCCTTATTTATGGAAGAGTTTGTAGAAAAATTGACGTCAGCATTATTGAATTCCTTTTCCTACAGTCTTACACACAATTTACTAAAATCTTGGATAAAATCGTATTTTTATTGGTGAGCTTTAAGCAAACTAAGTAACTTTAAACAATGTATTGCTTTTCCATACTTTATTCAGCATTATATTTTTTTTTTATCATGTTCAAAATCACCTTTAAATCATGACTAAATGATGATTCATTGCTGTATTTATATAAAAAAGTTTGTGAATTTTTATGTGCTCTTTGGTTTATGGTAATTCAAAAGGGTCTATCACCAATTGCACGCTTTGTGATATTTATGTACTTCAATTGTCCTTTCGTATGCCAACGTACAAATGTACTACAGCTTTATGCCATAAGTGTTCATCACAAGACATTTTTATGCCCCTGCTGTAGCGGAGGGGGCATTAAGTTTTTCCCATATTCGTCTGTACGTCCCAAAATTGGTTTCCGTTCTCTAACTTTAGTTTGCCTCAACCAAGTGTTATGAAACTTTTACACAATGCTTATTACAACCAAACACAGATCAAATTTGAATTTTGGTGGCATCACTTTTACCGTTCTAGAGTTATGCCCCTTTACAAATGGAAAAATTGCTGAATTTTTCGTTTCGGTTCTCTTACTTTAGTTTGCCTCAACCAAATGTTATGAAACTTTTACACAATGCTTATTACCACAAAACACAGATCAAATTTGGATTTTGGTGGCGTCACTTTTAATCGTTCTAGAGTTATGCCCCTTTACAAATGGAAAAATTGCTGAAATATTTGTTTCTGTTCTCTAATTTTAGTTTGCCTTAACCAAATGTTATGAAACTTATGCATAATGCTTATTACCACAAAACTCAGATCAAGTACAAATTTGGGTAGCGTCACTTTTACAGTTCTTGTTATGTCCCTTTAAAACTTTATATGATATGCAAGCTGGGGCATCATCTGTGTCCCATGGACACATTCCCAATTTATTTTGCTATATTTTCATTTAAAACAACATTGTTTTTTATAGCCATGCCATTGTCGACAGGGGCATTAAGTGTTACACTTGACTGTCCGTTCTTCCATCTTTCCCTTCTTCCATCTTTCCTTCTGTTAGTCCCATTTTTGTTGCAAAGCTTGAGCGGGGGCATTCGTGTCCTTATACACATTCTTCTTTTATTATGCCCCTGCCGTAGCGGAGGGGGCATTAAGTTTTACCCTTGTCCGTCTGTACATCCGTACGTCCCAAAGTTGGTTTCTGTTCTCTAACATTACTTTGCCTCAACCAAATTTTATGAAACTTATACACAATGCTTTTTACCACAAAACACAGATCAAGTTTGAAATTGGGTGCCGTCACGATAATGGCTCTTGAGTTATGCCCCTTTATAAACATAAAAATTGCTGAATTTTTCGTTTCGGTTCTCTTAACTTTAGTTTGCCTCAACCAAATGTTATGAAACTTATACACAATGCTTATTACCACATAATACAGATCAAATTTTGAAATTGGGTGGTGTCACAATTACGGTTCTTGAGTTATGTCCCTTTATAAACATAAACATTGCTGAATTTTTTGTTTCCTCTAACTTTAGTTTGCCTCAACCAAATGTTATGAAACTTATACACAATGCTTATTACCACAAAACTCAGATCAAGTACAAATTTGGGTAGCGTCACTTTTTCCATTCTTCAGTTGTGTCCCTTTATATCTTTATATGATATGCAAGCGGGGGCATCATCTGTGTCCATGGACACATTCCACATTTATTTTGAATAATGTGGAGTCATTTCTGTTTGGATTTTAATAACCTTGGTACCAATAGAATCAAAATCGTTACAGGATTTTTGCTTATTTGGTTATATTTTTATTGTGAAATGGTCTTATATAAACACAAGCATTACAAAATTAACAAATCTGCTAATTTGTTAAATATTTCAACCAAATTAAATTGTAATGAATTATACTACATGTTCACATCTTGGGAAAACAAAAAAAACTCAAGACGTAATTAGTACAAAATTAAAGAATACGCTTCATACAATCAGGTGTCTTTCAACACAGGGTGAAAAAAAATGTGTTATATGATTTGTATAGCATAAAAGTGTAAATGACAAATACTTTTAATATTGTATAATTGTGACAAATCTTGGACTTTCATAAACACTAGCCAGTATTGAGGATCAATGAATAAATTTCACATTTTTTTTTTTTTTTTTAATTATCTTACATTATCTTTCAGAGTTACTGGTGGTGAATTGTTTGACAGAATTGTAGAAAAAGGAAGTTACACAGAAAAAGATGCTAGTGATTTAATACGACAGATTCTGGAAGCTGTGGATTATATGCATGATAGAGGAGTGGTACATCGAGATCTGAAGGTACATAAAAAACAGTAGGCAGGGGCAAAAATAGTCCAAAGGCCATGAAAAAATTACAATAATTTGGTGTAAAACATCTGATTACAGGTGTAAGGTGTACATGTCTGTCTGGCAGGGTTAATCTGACCTTGACTTCATTTCTTAGATCTTTGATAATGTTAAGTTTATGTTGTTAATCTTTTAGCTTAAAGACTTTGAACATAAAATTCAATTATGATTAGTAAAGCAGGTGAGACATTTAAGTGTGTGCACTCTTGTCTGATCACATTAACGTATGCTCAACCTGATATGCATGTAATATTTGCAACTGGACATTAAACACCAATTCATCATCATCATCGTTTAATGAATGGGAAAGTGTGTCTATGATAGGAAAACTGTCACTCAAGACATAAAGATCATCTAAACCCCAATATTTTCCTTAATAAGATAAACAATATGAGAAAGTCTTGATATTCTAGATAATTGTTATTCAAAGTATCCGATTTGTCTAGACATTGTTATTGTTTTGGAAACCATAATAATGCCACCAAAGTCAAATTGAAAAATGCATCCAAAGCATATAATACACTATATAACAAAAGATTAAAAAAAAATCAGATATTGATCCATTATTTCACCCCTAGGGTCTATGTCAAAGTGTATTTTGAGAACAAAGAATAAAAATAAAAATGTCTAGTATTTATTAGGACAGAGGAAACCCTATTTTTTTTTAACCTCTTGGCAACAATTATTTTGTTCATTTCTAATGTTGTTAAAATGAACAAGGAAATGAGTAATGAAGGAAGTAATTGTGTGGTGGGAGAAATAATTTGAGTTCTAATATGCTGATAGGTGTTAGGGCTAATTATGTTTTTGGAAGTTGTTTATATTCAATTGAAAATATTATAGCAAATAGAAGTGATTCACACTTTTTAAATATTTTGAATCATATTTGGAGTTCTGTTACATTTAATGAGATTAAATTAAATTTGGATAGAGTAAATCATTCTAGAAAAAAAGAAAAACTTAGGAGAAAATAGAACTGTAACACCAAGTTCTAACTATCAAGTACAGAATTAAATCAGAATCCCTTCCTTCCTGTTCAATATAACTTCAAGATATCATTATAACTAATCTAGTTTTATTACTCTGATTCCTTGGAGACAAAAATAAATTTCAATCAACACTTTATTATTGAGTAAGCTTGACATCTTTGCCTTATAAGATAAAATAGGCAGACTGCGTCTTTTGAGATAAAACTACATATTAAGTGTGAATAAACTTGTTTCCAGATGTCTGTTCAATCAGTCATCTTTTGATTTATTGTACTACCAACTCTCATTATTTCAAATTTTAGAATAACACTGATTTATGTTATCATTTCTCAGAAGCAAAAAATTTAAAAAACATACTACACATATAGCATGTTATCATATTTTTAGACATTAAAGCTATTTTTAGCAGGAATTCACTTTTAATACTAAGTTTCTTTGGATCAGGTCCATGTAAGATTTTGCCATTCCTTTGGTGTCCATGGTCATTATCTTTATCTTACAGTGTTAAAAAAATCCTCTGCTCTAAAACTTTCAAGTGGATACTATTAGCAGTAGGTCAACTATATGTGGTATATGGAATGGTTTTAAGGGGTACATCTCAGTCTGGCAGGTTTCATCTGACCTTGATCTCATTTTTATGGTTCATTGGTCTATGTTAAGTTTTCATGTTTTGGTCTGTTTTTCAAGTACTATAAGCAATAGGTCAACTATATTTGGTGTATGGAATGAATGTAAGATGTACATGTCAGTCTAGTCTGTATCATCTGGCCTTGACCTCGTTTTCATAGTTCATTGGTCAATGTTGTTTTTGTGTTTTGGTCGGTTTTCCAAATACTAATAGCAATAAGGTCAGCTATGCTTGATGTATGGAACAATTGTAAGGTGTACATGTCTGTCTGGCAAATATTATCTGACCTTGACCTCATTTTCATGGTTTATTGGTCAATGTTAAGTTTTTGTGTTTTGGTCTGTTTTTCAATTACTTTAAGCAACAAGTCAAGTATATTTGGTGTATAGAGTGATTGTAAGGTATACATGTCTGTATGGCCTAGTTCATCTGACCATGACCTCATTATCATAGAACATTTATAATATTAAGTTTATGTGATACTTGTAGTAAAACCTTCATGTTACAAACTTTCAACATAAATTTAATCATACTGTAAATTCAGAAATTATTGCGATGTTTTTATTATTGCGAAAAATGTGACAGGGTTATAATCGCAATAATTTAAACTCGCATTTTGAAATTTTTTATATGAATTAAACAGGATTTTTCTCACTATCGCAAAAATAAAAAACGCATTTTAGGCTAAAGTGACAAAATCGCAATAATAAATGCACGCAATAATTTGTGAATTTACAGTAAGTAAAACTGGTGAGACATTTCAGAGTGTGCACTCTTGTTTCATTTTCTGGCATGAATTGGGTAGATGACCTCAAACCAGATAGGGTATGATATTATTTCTTTCATAACCAGTATCTTTGTTTCATTATCTGTATCTTTGAACGCCTCCTTAATTTTTTTTTTTTCCAAAATGGGATTTCAGAAGGCAGATTTCTTTTTTTTAACTCGTATATTGGTATGACGTTGGCGTCGTCATTGTCGTCATCGTCGTCGTCCGAAGACACATTGGTTTTCGCACTCTAACTTTAGTTTAAGTAAATGGATCTCTATGAAATTTTACCATAAGGTTCAATACCACAAAAGGAAGGTTGGGATTGATTTTTGGGGTTATGGTACCAATAGTTAAGGAATTAGGGGCCAAAGAGGGGCCAAAAATAAGCATTTTTGTAACATCCAGACATAACTTGTGTGTTGGTGTATGGATCTCTCTGACATTGTACCACAAGGTTCCATATCACAAAGGGAATGCTGGGATTGATTTTGGGGGTAATTGCCTACAAATTTTAGAAATAAGGGGCCAAAAAAGGGGCAAAAAACAAGCATTTTTCTAGTTTCATGACAATAACTTGTGTGTAAGTGTATGGATCTTTCTGAAATTGTACTTCAAGGTTCCATATCACAAAGGAAAAGCTGGAATTGAGTTTGGGGGTAATTGCCCAAAACGTTTAGGAATTAAGGGCCAAAAAGGGGCCAAAAATAAGCATTTTTCTAGTTTCCAGACAATAACTTGTGTTCAAGTGTATGGATCTCTCTGAAATTGTACTGCAAGGTACCATACCACAAAGGGAAGGCTGGGATTGAGTTTGGGGGTGATGGGGGAATCATAAGGGGGTTCAAAAAATTTGAGGGGGGATTTTTTTTTCTTTAAAATTTTCCATTTTAAATTGGTTATTTCTGATTTATACATAAAAGCAAATAATAATGATATGTTTTGAATAGGTAAATTAAAAAAATTTAAATTGTTAGACCACATTCATTCTGTGTCAGAAACCTATGCTGTGTCAAATATTTAATCACAATCCAAATTCAGTGCTGTATCAAGCTTGAATGTTGTGTCCATACTTGCCCCAACTGTTCAGGGTTCGACCTCTGCGGTCGTATCAAGCTGCGCCCAGCGGAGCATTTTATTAAAAAGGTCATGCTTTTTTTGAAATAGGAGAAACATTTTTCAGTATTATGTGTATAGACCCCAGTTGACCAATACAGCTCCTTGGAGCCTCTAATTACTGTAAATTCAGAACCTTTTAGCCATTTGATATAAAAATTTACATTGAAAACATGGTCTCCAGAGACAGACTAAATTTGGACTGGTCAGAATCTTAACTTTCACAAGATATATGGTACTCTATTCAAAGAACAAATGGGGATGGTCAGACCTTATTTGTTTCCTTCTTATCTGATCATATGCATTAATTTTGTAGTGAAACAATGGGTTCAGTCAAATGTTATTGCTGAAAGTTTTTATGTTTTTAATCAGTAAAAATTCTTTGGCTTTAGTCTTCTGAGTAGGTTAAAGCTTGTAGACAAAGTATAGCTTGAGTCTTGCATTAATTATCAAGAATATTAGTGTAGATATGTGTGCCATGTAAAGAGTTTGAGTCTTGACATTAGAAAGTCATTGGTAAAGGTTTCAAGATGATATTAAAAAATATGGTAAAGGTTTCAAGATGATATTAACAAAAATTGATAAAGGTTACAAAATGATATTAAAAAAATTGATCTAAATTTCAAGATGATATTTTAAAATGTATTAAAAGATGTCAAGATGACATTTTTTTAAAAGACAAGATGTTAAAAGGACATCATGAAATGTGTTTATTAATGAGTCATTAAAAAAAAACAAATAGCCTTTCATATTAGTAGTTCTATGATCTTTATATTAATAATATATATTATATTTCAGCCTGAAAACTTGTTGTATCACAGTCCTGATGAAGATTCCAAAATAATGATAAGTGATTTTGGTTTATCAAAAACGGAAGAATCAGGAACCATGGCAACAGCCTGTGGAACACCAGGATATGTGGGTTAGTAAGGTTGCTGCTTGTAAGGAACAGAAAAACCTGTTGAAAGAAAAACCAGTTACCGGAGGGGAAAATAACAAATTAGCTTATGATTTGCTTCCTCTGGAAAATTTGACCTTAGGGTAATAGGTGGTTTTCTAAACTTTTGGTCACAAATTCACTCAATGAAAGTTATTCCAGAAATGTGCAATATATCGAATGAATACTAAAATCAGTATATGGTTATGTAATTTTTCTTGGAAACTACAATTACCATCCAGCATTAACTATAAAGCAAAAGAACAAATAGCCAATTCTAATCAGTTTTTGTCTAGCTTGCGACAACAGTTGTTGAAGGCGAGACATAGGTATTGCTTTTCTGGCAATGTCGTCATGGTCATTGTAGGCATCAACAATTGTTAAGTTGTCTGCTTAAGTTAGTTTGATAGGAACTACTTGTGATAGTTTGAAGTTGCATTACTATCAGTACATATCAGTTTGATGATTATTTTGAGGCCCTGCCCCCTAGGTCGTGGTCCAATGACTTTGAACTAATTAGAAATTTTCAATGTTAAGTTTTCTGCTTAAGTTAGTTTGATAGGAACTACTTGTGATAGATTAATGATATTTTCTTTAAAGTTGCATTACTATCAGTTTATACCAGTTTGACAACTATTTTGAGGCCATGCTCCCTAGGTCATGGTCCAGCGACTTTGCATGAATAAGCAATTTTCAATGTTAAGACCTCTGCTTTAGTTAGTTTGATAGGAATTACTTACAGTAGACAATATTTTTTATAAAGTTACATTACTGTCTGTACATCTCATTTTTTCAACCATTTTGAGGCCCATCCCACTAGTTCATGGTTCAGCGACTATGAGTTAATTAGCAATGTTGCTGTCCATCAAATTGTCTTTTTCTGAATATTATGCTGACAGGCGAGACATATCCCTGTTTCAACAGTATATTGTCAAAAGCATGTCAGTACAAAGCTCAAATCTCTCATTTTAATTGAGTCATTTAACTATGCTTTGAATTTTCCTATAATAAATGGAAATAGAATAGAAGATTAGTCTTCAGACAGAAAATTGCTTTAAAATTTAATTTTTCTTAATGGACTGAGTCAATGACTGAGTCAATTTATTAGATGTTTTGTCTATAGTCCTATCATAAAAAGTTACAGATTGAATTTGAGTTTTGTTCTGGGTGAGTGATTTTTGCAGGAGTTGTGGTCCTTTGACAAAGAAAATTGCTTGAAAATATCAGTTTTCTGCACAATTTCTCAATTTGAAATTCTTCCTGGTTGAGCCATTTTTGCATGAATTGTGGTTGTTGGACATGGAAAATTGCTTTACAATACTGATTTATGGTTTAGAGAAATAAAATCCTTGATGTTTTAGAGGGTTACATTTTTATTACAACTTTGTGAGAAATTTTCAGATTATAAAACTTAGTTTCTTTATATTTACAGCCCCTGAGGTTTTAGCACAGTTACCTTATGGTAAAGAAGTGGATTGTTGGTCAATAGGTGTTATAGCTTATATTTTGTGAGTATAAGTAAAAATTGTATAAATAACAACTCAGTCAAAGTTACTGGTACTGGAATGTTTTATTCTTCCTCCTTGGAGATTCTAGATATATCTGTAGGTTAGGCATTAAACATAATTTTTTAGGGGTTCTGAAGTGTTCCTTACTTACAGAGATACCTAGAAAGTATTGATATTTAGACAAAGTTATGTTTCGTTGTCCTGACAATTCATTGTTCATTTTGGCAGATTGAATCAGTGTTTTGAACAGGAAAACATACTTTGAATAGAATTTGAAAAAAATCAGCATGTATTGTGGGATGCACTCCTTTTTCTTTCTTAGATACCAAAGACAGAGGTATGAGCTGTTCAAAAAGGCTCCAAGCTTACAGAAATTAATTGCCTGATGTCTTGAGAATGAATTCATGGCTATAGAACAGCTGCTTCTGGTTGTAGGACCCAGTCAAAACTAATACAATTCAAGAAAACCATTATTGGGTGTTTCACAATATGACAATCTATAACCAATAACACAGATTAATCACACTCACATATGAAACTTTATACAAACATATATAGAGAGAATGTTTTAATATTGAAGCAATGATAAAGTAATTCAAACATTTATAACAAGTAGGTTTTGATATTAAACAGTGTTAATCTGTAGTTATTGGGTATCACAGTATAACCTTGACATTAAACAAGTATGTGTTAATCTGTAGTTATTGGGTATCACAGTATAACCTTGACATTAAACAAGAATGTGTTAATAAGGGGTTGATAGTCTACAGTGTGCCATCTTAATGGTCAACCAGTAACGCCCATTTTTCCAAAAATTCTCCTGGATTTGTATCTGATTGAATTTTTATGAAATATTTTATTTTAAAATGCAGAGTTATGTCAGAAATAATTGAAACTGAAAAAAGCTTCTGTTTTGTGTTTTAATGATGAAAATTTTGTGAAATTGACTCATTATATGACCGCAAAAATTTTGCGGTCGTATATTGGTATCACGTCGTCGTCCGAAGACACATTGGTTTTCGGACAATAACTTTTGTTTAAGTGTATGGATTTCTATGAAATTTTACCATAAGGTTTATGACCACAATAGGAAGGTTTGGGATTGATTTTGGGGATTATAGTCCTAACAGTTCAGGAATTAGGGGCCAAAATGGGGCCCAAATAAGTATTTTTCTAGTTTCCAGACAATAACTTGTGAAATGGTGTATGGATCTCTCTGAAATTATACCACAAGTTACCATATCACAAAGGGATGGTAAGAATTTGTTTTGGGGGGTTATGGCTCAAACTGTTTAGGAATTAGGGTCAAAAAAGGGGGAAAAACAAGGGTTTCAAGGTTAATGGACAATTACTTAAGTACAAAACATAATTTAAAGCAGTGTAAGGGAGGTAATTCAAATACATATTGTCAAATTACCTCCCTTACACTGCTTGTAAATTATTTATAAAGAAATGTATTGTCTTTATGTGATTAGCTGTCAATTTTTTTTTAGAAGTTACTATTTTGAAAATGTTTAATTAAGGTAATTTATATATAGCCATGATTATGTATGTGAGGGAATTTTATTTTTAGATATTACTATTTAATGTTGCTGATTGAGGATTTTTAATTTTAGGCATGATTAGGATGTCATTTTCTATTTTAAAAATTATTTAATTTTAGCCATGATTATGTGTGTGAAGGAATTTTAATTTTAGATATTACTATTTAATATTGCTGATGAAAGTGTTTTAATTTTATGCATGATTATGATGTCATTTTCTATTTTAATACTTTTATGATGTATTTAAATGGATTTTTATGGTTGAAAAGTCCTAGCTGTCAATTTAGTTTTAGAAGTTACTTTTAAATGCTGATGAAGGAATTTTATTTTTAGATATTACTATTAAAAGTTGCTGATGAAGGTTTTTTAATTTTAGCCATGATTATGATGTCATTTTCTATTTTAATACTATTATGATGTATTTAAATGGGCTTTTATGGTTAAAAAAAAAGCATTTTTCTAGTTTCCAGACAGTAACTTGTGATTAAGTGTATGGATCTCTCTAAAATTGTACTGCAAGGTTCCATACTACAAAGGAAAGACTGCAATTGAGTTTGATTGTTAATGCTAAAAGGGGGATTCAAAAAGTTTGGGGGGAAGGGGGGGGGGGGGGTTCCAATTTTTTTTTTAAAGGGTTCATATTTTTTTTCAAAATTTTCAAAATTTCAAATTTTTGAAAAGTTTCAAGAAGAAATCTTCAATTGCACAGTATTGCGCATTAGATTTGTAAGATCTTTGACCACATTTATTTTGTGTCAGAAACCTATATTATGTCAAAAATTTTATCACAATCCAAATTCAGATAGTATCAAGCTTGAATATTGTGTCCAAATTTGCCCCAACTGTTCAGGGTTCGACCACTGCAGTCGTATCAGGCTGCACTCAGCGAAGCATTTTATTAAGAAATAAGTTGATCATTATATGTGATGTTATTTAGAAATTAATGTTAGAAATAGAACAGGATAAACAAAAAATAATTAAAATTTGTGTTTGAAGTTTTGCTAGTGATACATGTATTCTTTTACAGCATGCACACAAATTGATAATTATCACAATTACATTCTCTGAAGAATGGTGAAATTTGCCCCACATTTATAATTATCACATTTCGATTTTCTACAGAAGACAGGTGAAATAAGCTTGCCCCACATTTATGGTTTCACATTTAGATTCTCTGAAGAATGTGAAATAAGTTTGCCCCATATTTATAATTATTACATTTGGTTTCTCTGAAGAAGGTGAAATTGGTTTGTCCCACATTTATAGTTATCACATTTTGATTCTCTGAATAAGGTGAATTAAGTTTGCCTCGCATTGATAATTGCCTCATTTAGATTCTTTGAAGAATTATGAAATTGTGGTTCGACCCAAATAAAAGACTTTTGAATTTGTGGACTTTCCTGGAAAGTTGCTATGTCACAATGCTAATGTAATTACTTCAACGTAGGACCGATTACTCGATGACGTTTACACTGATTGACAACCGGTGTAACTCATTCATAAAAAACAACTTGAGATTGGTGTTTTGATAATTGTCACATTTATTTTTAAAGGCAGTGCTTTAATGCCTTTCTAGCTGCCGTGTTAATATTTCTTTCCGCGATATCCAACTTATCTACGTGGGGGGTCATTTAGCTCCAAGTAGATCCGGAAAATGTTGATTCTCTCCTCTTCTTATTGTGGTATAAAATGTTTTTTGTCTCATTTCATTTACATTGGGAAATAGAGAAACGATCATTGTGTTTTCTTAGTTTTAAAAACTTTTGATATATTTGTATTTTACATTATAAGCAGTCAACCGATTGACAAACTAGAATTATTTGAACTCCTTGTGGAAAGAGGTCGGGTTAATTTCGAGTGTTATCTGCAATCTAGATGTTTATAAATCATTTCAGTCGTTGATATAATAATTAAAGGTCGACTGAACATGAATTATATTATACAATTTAAAGCGCATTTCTGTTTATGCACGCGAACCCGTCTAACGTTATTGTTATTTCGCAGTTATATAAAGTAGCAAATTATCGTTCCTGAATAGGTGGCGCCGTGGTAGCCGATCCTGTACTTCAACTTCCGGATTCTGCACTGTGCAACTATTACAGTTGCATTTTTAATTAACGATGCCAAGTACTTGTTGTTGTGTACCTGGATGTCATTTAAGAGGAGGACATGCATTTCCAAATGACTTAAAAAGAAGGAAAAGTTGGATCAACGCCATGGCCCATACGCAGATTGGACGAGAACACGATGAAATCGTGGAGTCCATCTCAATCAGCTGTTGTTTGCAAGGCACATTTTACTGAAAAAGACTACGTGCAGGAAACTATCATGGTAAAACTCTATTTTCTTTTTAAAATATATAGTTATATATGTAATCGCCATGCGAATAAACCAAAGTCTGTTTACAACCGCAATTATCGTTTTAGAATACAAGGGGGTGGTTAATTCAAGACGTCATAATTTTTTGGATTACGATTCAATGTGATCTGTTTGAGATTTTTTGGTGCTTGCTACAATTATAATGATTTCTTACAAGAGGTATATCATACTGAGAATTATTTTAGCAGTAATTATGCTTATGTAGTAATGACAGGAATGCATAAGCTATGCCTCATAGACTTTCTTGAAAAATATCAATGACAATGTTAACAGGAACAAAACAATGACATGCTCTCATCTATATTATAGTTATTTAGGTACAAACAATGTATGTTTGTTGCATACGTCTCTCATTGTTTGTCCTTTGGATTTACATAACATACATTTTGATGTACATTGAATCAGGCTAACATAGTTTTATCCAGATTGTAATGAATAAATCTAGTTTATATTTTGCCAGGTTACGAGTACAAAGGAATTATAGTTATCTCGTACCACTAAACAAAAACTCGTTCCAATGCAAACTCGTACATCTGCTAACTCGTACCACGGTAAATTCATACCATTGTAAACTCGTACCAACTTATTTAAATGCATTCAAATGGTGTTTAATGATGAATATATACTTTAATTTCACTCAATACCTCTTAAGTCTGTAAAATGTATATAATTTGAAATTACAATAGCCAATTTGTAGCTAATTTTCCTTGTCTAATTGGATAGAGAAAACCGTGGCAGATTGGCTTTGTTGTCTCCCTTGAATAGACTCTTTTTTAAACTTTTACTGACAACTATTTGATTTAATTTTTAATCATTCCAAATCAGTAACATTGAATAGATTTGGGTATTTTTCTATTGTTTCTAAAAGGAATTTTATTTAATGAAAGAATTTATTGATTGTGTTTTAAAGGTTTAAAATTGTTTATGACCAACAGTTAGAAAGTATGAAATTTATTTTTATACAATATTCAGCACATTTCAGCAGAATATGACCATGCTTATATGATTATACAAGTTGATTAGTCAAAGATAAAAAAAAACCAAGTTGATTAGTTAATAATCAACCAATAATCACAC